CATAGAAACACCTTAGTAGAAAATCGCTTCCTGTCTCGTAAATTGCGACCAAAGTCAAAAAAATTGAATTTTTGGGCATAAATTTCCGTGGGTCCCGTTTGTGTTACGGAAATTTACGCCCGAAAAATTCCTGATGTAGTTTATCTACTGGTTAAAAATTTATTAATATCATATCTATCAGATATCTAATAGGTGTAAAAAATATTTTACTATACTTATCAGATATCCAATAAGTGTATAAATATATACAGTTGCATTGCAAAGTAATGTTCAATTTTTATTAAAAGAAAAATTCTGATATGTACATGATTTATTTTATTTCTATATTATATATATAAAGTTTTTTTTTTAGAATTAATTAATACTTTGTTTGTCTTTTCTGTGCATCCAATACTATTTTAATTCTTTGTAACATTGAGTCCATAACTTTTCTAAGAATTAATATATCAAATTTTGATTACTTCTCACTCAAAGCAGCCTTGAACTTATCTATGGTTTTAGAAAAATTTTTTTGTTTTTGGATATTGTTCTTTAACAATTTCCAGATGTTTCCTATAAGGTTAAGGTCAGGAGAATTCACTGGTCAAGTCATATTTTTAATTTTTTTTTGTTTCAAATCATTTTATGGTTTTTTTTTGTAATATAGATTGAAGAATTATCATGTTGAAACATCAGTTTTTCACTTATTAATTTATGAACTGTATTATAAAATAGTAAAAAATAAGTCTCTAGAATTCTAATATATGTATCTGTATTTATTTTTTCTTTTTTTTTAAAATTTATCACAAAACACTAATGGTCCTTTTATTTCTCTCACAAAATATCCCCATACCATTACTGAGTACTGATCACTTTTGAAAGTAGATATTAAATATCTAACATCATATCTCTCTCCTGTATGTTGCTATACTTTTATTTGTTATAATTGTTTTCAATTTCTATGCTTATTTCATGTTTTTATTTTCTTTGCACTAACTAATACATTTATTTACATTATTTTCTGAAATAAATAGTTTTTTACTATAATATGAGAATGAATTCCAGCATTATATAGTGTTTTTTTAGCAGTTGTTAAACTGCAGTTTAAACTTAACTTATTGATAATTTTGTGCAATAGTGCATATCATTTTTTGTGATTTCGTTTACAAATGCATTTTTTTCATCATTATTAAGTCATCCTGATCATGATAAATTTTCAGTTTTTTCAGTTTTCTTGTACTTGACAATAAACCTATATATTGTGATAAGATCTCATTCCATTTTTCTTGCAATTTGGATAGCATTTAAAGTTTCAGTATATGCTAATATTTTTCTCTTATCTTGAGAAGTCAACTGAACATGAGTGGATATCATTTTTAACTGGAAAAATTGTTATATAACATTTATTCAATTATAAAAAAATAAATAGATAAGAATAAAAACATATAAAAAGAAAAAAAAAAGGAGAATTAATTGTGAAATATTGTATATTACTATATTGAAAAATTGGATATTACTTTGTGATGTAATTGTACATTACTCTTATACCTATTAGATACTTAATAGGTATAGTATTTATAAATTTTTGACCAGTGATCAAATTCCTTTGAAGATAAATCTTGATAAATAATGTGCAATTTTACTTGTATAATTAAATTGAATTGGAATTTAACCAGTATAATTAATTGAGCCAGAATTTAGCTAGAAAACAATCAATTAACTATGATGCAATTAATTGAACTAGTTTAATATTAGTTGAACAACCATCCTTAGCTAACACTGAATGAAGATTTGTATAGTAAAACAATTTTGAATATATTTAGTTCATTATTAAATTTTATTATATTTTTTAAATAAGTATATCTTTATTTAATTTTTATTTTAAGAATTTTCAATAAAACATATTTTAGTTATTATTAAATATATATTTTTAATTTCATTGTATTTAAATTTTTATTTTGTTTTAAAAAATTTTTAATAAAATATATTTTAAATAATATTATTTATTAATTTTGAACTTATTGTATTTATTGTATTTAAATATTTTTGTTTATTAATTTTAATTTTATTTTATTTTTAATTTATTTATTTTATATTTAAAATTTATATTTTTTAAAAATTTTTTAGTAAAATATATTTTAGCATTGTTAAATATATATTTTAATTTTATTATATTTAAATTTTTTACTTTGTTTTAAAAATTTTTAATAAAACATATTTCAGATGATATTATTCATTAATTTTGAATTTATTGTACTTATTTTATTTAAATATTTTTTTTATTAATTTTTTTATCTTTTATATTTAAAGAACTGAATTTACTTAAATATTTAGGTTAAAATTTAATTTAAATTAATTGTTTTAAATATTGAATTTTAAATATTATTTAAATACTTATCTTTCTATATTTTTTATCTTTTATTTCAAAAAAATAAAACATATCTTGATTAGATTTGCTAGGCATACTTTACAAAATTATTAAAAACATGAAATTTGCTTATTAAAATAATAGAATCTAGAATTTTCAAATAAAACATTAGCAAAAAGGTTTAATATTAGTATAAGTATCCTTTCCAAAATTCTTAAAAATAGTAACTTTGACTCAATATTGATTTTAATAGCAGTAAATAGTGTTCCTGAAGTCAATTTGATAATTACTAAATTTATTTTAATTTACCACTCCAAGAATTTATTAAACTTTTCAATATCAACAATTTTAAAGTATCTGAAGGTTGGCTAACTAATTTTAAAAAACATGCTAATTTAAACAATTTGTGTATTATAGAGAAGCCAATAGTGCATTTCTTGAAGACCTTTCAAAATATAGAGAAGAATTACTAAATTTATTAAATGATTGGCCACTAGAGAATATCTTTAATTGTGATAAACTGGTCTATTTTGGAAAATGGAACTTTCAAGATCCCTTGCTAAAAAAGAAATTGCAGGAAAAAGATAAAAAAAGAGTTACAATTCTCTTATATACAAATGTTACAGGTATATTTTAAGTTTTTTTTTTATCTTTAATAATAAATTTTATTTTATTTTTTTTTTTTATTTTAAGGAAAAACCAAAATAAAATCATAAGTAATTCATTATTTTCAAAAATCTCAGCTATTATAAAAGTAAATAGAGAAGAAATGCCAGTTAGCTATTATTGGAATAAATTAGCATGGATAACTACAGAAATCTGAAATGATTTTTAATTAAATTAAATAACCAAATGAATGAAGAGAATAAATCAATTCTTTTTTTATATTACCAAGCATCTGCACATTGTAGTAAAAGAAATTTGAAGTCGGAAAATTTATCAAATATTACATTTCATCCATTACTACAGCCCATTTGTAACCAATGTATGCAGGTATAATTCATTTTTTAAAGCTCAATATAGAAAACTTGTGAAATTCAAAATTGATTAATTTAATTTTACGCATGCTAATAATGAAGACATTAATATTAAACATGCTATATATTGAATTGCTGAAGCATGGAATAACATCAGTTGTGATACACTTTTAAACTGTTGGAAAAAGACAAATATTATATCACTTTCACAATTTGAAAATTCAGGAATACTCTTGTCCATTATTAGTATTACTTCAGATACTACAATAACTGGTGATATAATTCCATTTCAACAATATGATATTCAAGAAATTCAAAATTTAATTTCTCAATTGTCTTATGAAGAAGATTTTATTAATACAGATTACTATATTGAAATTGATGATTCACTTCAATTTGAAAATATTGATATAGCAAATAGAGATATTATAAAAAAAAATCAATTAAAATAATTGAACCTGGATTAGTAATCCAAAGCATTGATAATGTCATAAAATTCATAGAGCAAGAGTCAGAATTAAAATTAAATAATAGTCAAACAGAACTTATTTATAGCATTCAACAAAAATTTTTACAATATAAATAATTATATGATTGTATAATAAAAAATTTATTCTTGTATTTATAAATTATTTAATATATTTTATTTACTATTTCATAAATTTTTTTTTTTTATTAACTTTAAGAATGGCTATAAATAAATGTTACAATAAATACTGTATAAAAATTTATAATGCATATTACATATCAAACATTTTATTGATATTAAAAAAGTATATCTTATTTTAAAAATTAATCAAACGGACATTACTCAATTTTAATGAAATAAGTCTGAAAATTTTACAGTAGGTGTATTTTATACGAATTTACTTAGAAACATTTTGATGTTAACTCATTAGATAAAAAAGTTTGCTATGCATCAATTTCAATTAATTTTACTTAAAAAAATCAAAAAAAATTTCCGGATTATTTCGAAAAGAGATACCGTGGTATAGTTGTTTCTTACAAAAAATTAACCTGTGCCTGGAAAATTTTGATCTTGATTAATATGTTAGAATTGTTGAAATTTATATATACAGTAATATTATTTCACAAGTGAAATTTTTTATATTTTTTTTTAATCCAACCTCTAGTCAAATATAAAAGAATCGCTGTACCGAATGGTAATTCCTATATTATAGACCAGCTAAAAATCGGTAAAAGTTGACCGTCCTATTACATCCTATATCCTATATTATAAATCAGCTAAAATCGGAATTCCGGCAATTCTTTTGTATTTGACCTGTATTATATTTTTGCTGCTTTTAGAATTAAGATGAATTTTTCTTTGATTTAAAAAATTATTTTCTATATGATGAATGCATTTTATTTGTTAAACTTACTATCCACAATTTTTATTAATGAAGTTGTCCAGTTTTTAGAATAAAATATAAGGATATAAAGGTAAAAATATTCTTTTTATTTTGGTTTTTTAATAAACATTGATAAATTTAACAAGTGTAATCGATAATATGGATAAATAATTGTGAATCTGAGTACCTATAATACTATTCTAATCAATTAAAAATTAAAAAATAAATTTCTGAAATATATAAAATAAAATAAATATCAATTCGTTTAGGTGAAATACCCTCAGAAAAAATTATTAATTTTTATTAGTTTTGCTTTTTAGAAAATAAATAAATAAATGATTTATTGGTTGGTTAAAATATAAATAAAAAATAATATAATAAATATATACATGAATTTATTTATTTATTTACAATTATTTTTATTTTTTACAAAAGAAAATTTTGGTCGTTTAACATCCAATATTTTTTCATCAAAATTACATACTCAAGTGGAATATCTTTATTGAATTTTGGTTAATATCCTTTGACATATAGCAAATCTAAATTATGTTTGTTCGCAATAATAAACTAAAGTTGCAACTTCCCACATTAAAATACCTAAACTATATATTTAAAATATAAATTTGCACCAAATACTTCAGGTGCAATGTATGGAAGATTTCCATAAGTAATGTTAAAATAAAAGAATGGTTTATCAATTGGTCCACTGAATCCTAAATCATTAAACTTTTTAATGAGGATCCAGAATAAATCTCTATGTACTATATTTTGTGTACTATATATTTAGTACATCAAATAAAGTATATAAATTTAATAGAATAAAATTTCTTAAATTATTGGTAATGGATCGTTTGTAATTGGATCGTTGAGCTGACTATAATATAATATTTAGAAAGATATTTAAAAAGTGTGAAACCCAGAATAATTATATACATTATATATAAATATCTTTAATATCTTTTACAATATTAAACTGACATCAACAAGTTTTAATGTTATAATAACTACTTACACAATTTTTGGTTTTCAGAATTCCATTTATACGCTTCATATTCAATCTATTCAAAATTAATCGAAACAAAATTTTTTTTCATTATTTCAAATGTAAATTAACTATTAAGTAAATAATATATATATATATATATATATATATATTAACTTACTAAGTAAAATTTCTTTAATTTTTGCGAGAGGAACCATATTTTCTCATTATCCCTCTCGCTTCTAAAATCGATGTCTAGAGAAAGGGTCAAACCCCTTTCAATTCAAATTTCTCGCACTGAACAATCATTTTAAGTAACAAATATGAATAAATGCTCATTGAACAACTTTTTGTGAACATAAAGAAATTGTAGATCGAATATTTTTTTGGTGTTTTTTTTTAACCCAAATAAAGTAAGAACCAATCACATGTATGCATAAATATGAATAAATATGAATGAAACGAATTCAAAACCGAGATTAAAGTTAACAATATGCCCAAAGAACTTAATGTGATACGATCAAAAAGAAAAGAACCCACTCCTCCACTACCTCCTGAAAATGTAATGTAAGATAATTATATATAATTTATATTTTTTATAACAGATAATAATTTATTATATTATATTAGCCTCGTCAGTGCCATTTTTGGGTAAAAAGAAAAAGGTAACAGGAAATTTTCAAATTCTATCAATTTTTGAAAGATTTTTTTCTTAATTTATATTAATATATATATATATATATATATATATATATATAAATATAGACGATATTGTCATTTACCTACAAAGATTGAAAATAAATATTGTGGAGAACATTTAAATTATGATACAAAAGAAACAATTAGAGAGCGAATTCCGTGTCCTTATGATTTATCACAGTATGTCAATTTTAATATGATCTTTATAACTTGCATTAATTGTGATGATGATAATAATAATAATATTAATTTTATATAAGTACGGTGTATAAAGATGAACTTAAAAAACATATGGAAAGTAAATGTAATTCACGACCCAAACCAAATCCTCCTTATTTCACTCTGAACATTAATTGTACACTTCCGATTCCCCAAAATGAAGAAAGATTTTCACTTTCAGAGTTGAATAACGAATCATTAAAAAAATTAATTGCAAACGTGAATAATTGGTATGATCAATTTGCACAGGAAATTAAGACTTTGATATTAGATCATGAAGCTGTAAAAGAGAAAAAGTATCAAAATTATTCTTTCATAAAATTCTTTCATATTTGGCATAGATTAAATTATAATTTAACAAAAATTTTTTGGTAACATATTCTTTAAAGAGAAATCCTTAAAAATAGGAAACACGTAATTCAACAGGTATTTAATTATATTTATAAATAATATTCTTATTCTATATTAAAAATTAAAAATTCTATAGGCATCATTATTAGGGCAAATGGCTCGTTTAAATTTATTACAAGAAGAAAAATGCTTTATCGAATTTGGTAGTGGAAAAGGTAATTTTATGTGTATTTCTGTATAAGTTTATTTATTTTCAACTTATTTGTTATATTAATTTATTTTAAAATTATATTTATTATCAATTTATAAATTTAAGGTGAATTATCTTATTTCACAAAGCTTGCAGTTAAAGATCACGAGGGAAAATCTAATTTTATTCTTATTGATAGGAAAATTACCCGTTGTAAGGTAACTTTATTTTATCAATAAATTTATAACTTTAAAATATTTATTTAAATATTTTATTTTCTTTAGTTTGATTCAGCAATTCGTGATGCAACTGAAAAGAAATCAATAGTAAAACGAATTGAAATCGATATCAAAGATTTAGATTTATCAAAACTTGATATTATAAAAAATAAGAAAATTGTAGCATTTTCTAAACATCTTTGTGGATCAGCTACCGATATTACATTAAAATCATTAGTAAATTATTCTAAATCTGATATGGAAAAGTAACTTTATTGTGATTTAATTTCCTTTTCGTTCTTTTATGTTCTGTAAAATATTGATTCTATACAAAATTTTAACTATATTTCAAATATTTGTTTATATTATAAAATATTTCTAGAAAACCAATTGATGGAATAATTATAGCATTATGTTGTCATCAATTATGCCAATATCATATGTATCCATATCATGAATTTCTTCAAGAAATTGGAATTACTAAAGCTGATTTTAAAGGAATATGCGCAATGAGTAGTTGGGCTATTTGTGGGCAAAGACCAGATAAATGTAAAGAAGATAATAATGAAAATAAAGATGATGGTGACAGTAAAGAAAAAAATAAGAATTTAATAAAGAATGATGATGAGGAAGAACATTTTTATCATGATTCTATGGAATTTACAGAGGAAGATAATACAAGGTAAGTGAATTCTTAAATAATAATTTAATTATCTAATATTATCTAATATTATATCTAACTTTTACAACAAATTTAATCATTCTTCAATAAAAAAAGACTTCATTATTCTGGTTTGGATTATCATACAAGAGAAGCATTGGGATATAAATGTAAGAGAATATTGGATTTTGGTAGATATAAATATTTAAAAGAAAATGGATTTGAAACTGAATTAATTTATTATGTTGAACCTGAAACTTCATTGGAAAATTTAGCATTGATAGCTATTCCTATTAAAACAAATTAAAACGATTAAAATGAATATTAGTTTATTTAATATATTAATGCTGCAAAGTGACAAGCACTTTTAATTAATTAATTATATTAAATATATTAAATATATTAAGTGTTTAAGTTTAACATTTCTCACTTGTTATGTGTGCGTAAGTTTTCATTGAGTTGGAAAAATTAATGCATGTAAATTTATGCAAAGTTGATTATTTGGTTTAACTAATCTCCTATTAATATTTTTAATTTGGTTGGGTAAGTTCTCTTAAAGTTGATTAAGATTAAGAAGATTAAGGGAATATCCCAAAGAATGTAATAAACACTTGTAATTTCATTTAAAAAAAAAACAGTAACGACAATCCACTTATGCAAAATACTTTATTCAAAGTTAAAATTGTGTTACAGTATATAAACGGACAATATAATATAGTCAAAACAATATCTTCAAAGTAAACGTGTAAAATATATCATTTATTCTCATCTATTTTATCATTCATTTTCTTTAGTTGTTCATTTATCAATTATGGTATTTATCATAATATGATTCAGAAAAGGTTCAATTATAATAATGTATTATCAGTACCTGAAATGATATTTAAAAACAAATTTCATTTCCTAAATGGATTATAATAATTAATGAAAAAAAAATGCTTATTCACATTATCCACAAGTTTGATTCAAATATTGGCAACTCCTTGAATATCAAAAGGGATATTCTCAGATAAAAAAAAATAAATTTCAAGTTTAAAATAATAAATCCCGCAAAAGGTATACACAAGTTATAAACATATAAGTTAGAAAAATGAGATTAGGGTATATAATATATGTTTCTATAGAACTTACTATAAATTTTTATTGAATAAACCTTTCTATATCTAAAATTTTCAAAAAAACTGGAATATCTTTTGTCTTCAACATACTAGAAATTCTAATTTTTCTCTTGCATAATTTGTAGGAAGAACTGAAAATTCAAAACCTAGTTCTAAAAAAAATTACATTGATTTCATGACCTGAAAATTTGATTATCTTTTTTAACATTTATTCATTCTATTTGGAGTTCTTTCACCTTATTAAAAATACAAATCAACATTAAAGTAAACAATAATTAACAGGTATCATAAAGCATTCTTTAAACATATTAAATTTTGGTATTGACGTATCAACTACAACTTAAATAATAGAGACATGAGAAATTCAATTTGATCTTTAAAACTGTTCACATCATAGAGACATGAGAAATTCAATTTGATCTTTAAAACTGTTCACATCATCAGAAACTGAACCGATCCGACTAGAATAATGAAGAAGTTCGAATTTAGTTAAATTCGATCCAAAAAAGAGAATATATTGATACTTACGAAATCTTCACACTTGTCTTTTCTATTTCATGTTTCCACTTGTTCTTGATTTTGAAGGCACCACAGAATTCCAATGAAATAGCCATCGGAAGTAAATAATCAAGACTTCTAATCATCACATTCCTTGAAATATTTCAGAGTTCCCATCTTATTCAATGCTTTGATCTGAAGAGTCACATCACATGTAAATATTTTTCCGGTGATTCCAGTACCTATGTTTAGATTATTTTCTTGCAAGGCTATCTTTGATTATTTTTTCACATAATTTCAGAATGTTTTCAACCTTTATTATTACTTTACGCATGTAATAACAAATAATTTTTTGAAAATAATAATTTACATGTAAAAATAAAATTATTCTTTTTTTTATAAACAAGGATAAATATAATAAATATAATTGATAATATGGATCAATAAAATGAATACTTAACTTTTCAGCAAGAAAAACAATTCAAATAACCTAAAAGTAATATAGCATCTAAATTTGCGACATTTGGATATTTTGATATTTGCAATCAATTAGTATTCGGGCGTCTTTAAATATGTTGATCAATTTGATTTCTAAGAAATATGGTCCTTTAAATATTTGTTAAACAATATAAAAATAAAATATTTCTTTATTTTATTTATTTTTTTTTTTAATTTTACATTATTAAAAATTTATTATATTTGCAAATCTATTAACCTAATTTCTATCTATTAACCTAATTGTATATCTATTAACCTAATTGTATATCTATTTTTATATATTCTTGAAATTCAAAAATTCCATCCAATGATAACTCTTTATAAGACTTGCTATTCCCAACATTTTTTCATCAAAGTTGCATATTCATGTGGAATATCTTCATTGATATTCTTTACCTTACATCATCGATGTAGGTAAAACTTTCACGGAAAATTCCAGTTGCTATTTCCCACATTAAAATACTTAAACTAATGTTGCATCACTGAGTACACTAAATATCTCAGGTGCAACATATGGAAATTTTCCATATCAATTATTAAATTATGCATAATTAATCTTTTTAAAAGTTCAAAATATATATGATTATGAAATACACACTATATATACTATATATTGTCCACTATGTAAATCTTATTATCTAGGATGGATTGAAATCTTTTTAAAATTAAAAAGTAATAACTAAATTCTTTATATGTACTATGAATCTGTAATTGTACATGTAGATTTCATCAAAAAATAGTCATATCCATATAATAGAATAATAATTATTCATCAAAAATGTCTAAGATTCCTTGAATTGTAGTATAATTATTTTTTCTAAGGACCAAGATTTCATATTATTTTCGATATTATTATTGGTATTGATAAGCACAGTAAAGATGAATGAGTATCGTTAATATGGTGTTGGTGTGATGGATGGACTACTGGTTTGACTATAATATAATATATTAAAAAGTGTGAAACAGAATGTCGCCTAATTAATATATTTTCAATATTAAACTGAAAGTAGAAATGTTATCATAATGACTTGCACCCAATTTTTGGGTTTCAGAATTCCATAATTCTCCTTCTTGGTCATACTTAATCTATTCAGTCAAAACAATTTTTGCTGAATGAATTTATCAATTTCATTATTTTTCGAAATTCATAGTATTGGATTTGCTTATCACTAATAAATACTTACTGAGTAATAAATTCTTTTTCAAGTTCATTCTGAACAATCTTTTAGGTACCCATTTTCTATTACTTTCATTTAATATATTCGAAAGAATTTAGTAATCAAGAGGGTAGGAAATGTATGAACAATATTAATTAATTAATTAATTAATCTTTATAATCCTAAAGCCATGAGTTACGCAAAATCTTTCAGCCACAACTTTACTAAAATATTTGTGCGAAAAATTAAAATATTTTTGTGGGGAGGACATTATTGAAGAGAAATAAGTGATATAAAAAAAATTTATCAGTAGAATTGATATGCATCTCATCTGCGTTTTTTAATTGTTAACGTGACAATGATCACACGAAATAAGGTGATTATAGTATATACAATTTTTTGTGATTTATAATATGGTTAATTTATAATAAAAATAAAGAGGACAAATTTCCTTTACTTTAGGCACATGTAACTTTAATTGAAAAACGCACTCTCTTTATGCATCCATTTTTTTTAACCAAAAATACGACTAATTTACATTAGTATTTTATTAAGAATGCATAAACCCAAGATTTTGCAATTAATTTCTGTAATTGAAAAAGAAGTAACCAGCTCAGCAAAATTATAAAATGAATTGGATGAATAAAAGAAAGAACAAACGTGACGTGATGAATAAAGAACGAACGAATGTGATGATGAATAAAGAACAAACGAATGTGATGAAATACTGAACGTGATGAAAAATAATAATAAAAAAATATTTGGTTGATAAAAAAAAAAAAAAAAAGATCAAGAAAATATATCGTTCAAACGGTCAACTGCTTCTTGTGCTCTCTTTTCTTCTAATATTGGACAATCAGCTTAAATACAGAAATAAAGAATTATAAATTAAATTAAATTATTTTAGCCATTAACAACAAATTTATGCAAAATATATATATAAATAAATATGAAAAAAAAATTCTTACTAAGGAATTTTTGTATCAAAGGACGCGTTTCCAAACCAGCCTCCAATACAACATAAATTGGTTCAATCAATCTTAACATTGTACCATAGAATTCCGCAGAGTAAGGTGGAGAGACCATCTTAAGAACCTAAAAAAGTAAATCAAAATTAAAACATTTAGATTTCCGCATTATACATTCATTGAATATATTGGATATATTTAAATAATTGAAATTTTTTTCTTGCCTTTGTAACAAAATAGCTGACTAATTTTTCGTCTAGCTTGTTCATATTTTTTTCAATATACATCAACACCTGCATCACGTATCCAATTGAAATCAAGAATATCATTCGATCCAATAATTGTTTTTTAAGAGCCGTCTAATAATAATATATGAATAATATTTATTTAATATTTTTCAATTCAAATTAGGATTAAAGAGAATAAAAAAGAAGAGTTAATGCGACGATCAAACCTACCATAACTTCGGGAGTTAGTTTATGAGATGATTCTAAATCAGCTTTGTACGCATTAAAAACATGTCCTCTTTGATATGGATGTCGAAATGCGATCTAAATAAAAATACAAATTTAATAATATTCAATACATATAAAGAAAACATATTTTTTTTAAAAAAAAGGAAATTTAACATTAAACCTTCGGTAAAAATAAAAAAAAAAAATAATTAATTACCTCCTCTAAAATTAAATGTGGTATGGGAACTTCATTAAATTTAAAATTCTTTTCATAAAATGAAGTTTCTCTCAATAGATACTTTATCCAAAAAATCGAGGCCATTGACGCGATGGGAGTACTGAATTAAAAAGAAGTTTTTTTTTTTTACGTCAATTATTCTTAAAAATTATTATTCGTAATAATAATTCATTCATTCAGTATTCAGTATAAACACTTACTCAATATACACTAATAAGTCAGGAACGATTGAATTAAATTCTGAACCCGTAGCACTTTTTTTAGATAATGTGGCAGAAAGTTTTTTAAGTGTATCGAAAGTTGAATTAACTTTACTGATATCGACCTACAAAATGAAATCGGGGAGATCAAAAATTTCCAATTAAAGTTCATTTAATAGTTCATTTAATCGTTAATTTAATCGTTGATTTATTATTTATTATAAGTATACATACATTTCCATCAGGTATTTCTTTTGCAGAAGATGCAAAGGCTGCAAGATATAAATATTTTTCTTTAAGGTCCAATTTGATGTTTTTATTTTGTTCAGAAGGTACAAAAACGTTGGTTAAGAGCCAGTCTTAGGGAAAAAATGAAATCAATAAAAAGAAGTGTAAGATGAAAGCAATAATAGATTAAAAAAACAATCGCATTAACACATGGAATACATTAATGAGGGCGTTTGTTTTTCATACACAACAATTCGGGATCACGCAAATAAATAGGAGAAGGTGGAGGATCCTTTTGATATTGCTTATATAACTAAAACAAAAGAAATATATTATTAATTATAAATGTAAAAAATAAATTTAAAAATATCTTATGTACCTAAACTTAATTACCGCAACTACATCACCAGGAGTTGGTGGAATATATAAAATAGAAGTTGCAATAACATTGGGTGGAGCTGCTATCAAACTACGTAAATTAGGGATAAGTTCTGATCCACTTATTAAAGATAATAATAATAATAATAATAATAATAGATAATTAAAAAATAATCACAAATAATTAGTAACGCTTTCAATATTTTCGACAAGATATCAAATAATTTTTATTTTACCCTAATTTGTTAACACCCTTTTCTAATTCTTTAGCTAATTTTCTCAAGGGATATCCATTTTGTTCCTGTGATAATCGTTTAACCAATGCTTGAACAAATAGGTAAGAATGTGGATGAAGACTGGCAGTTCTCTAAATAATAATAAAAATAATTTTAAGTAATTCAAGAATAAATCAAAATAGTAATAATATAATAATAATAATAATAATAATAATAATAATAATAATTTTAAGTAATTCAAGAATAAATCAAAATATATAATAATAATAATGATAATAATATTAATAATAATAATAATAATAATAATAATAATAATAATAATAAAATAATAAATAACAATAATTAATGATAATATAATAATTTGATGAATACTGACAATTAAATCTGGTAAAAGTTTTTGTACACCAGCTTCGTCTACTTCAATAATAGTTTTTAATTGATCCAATAAAACTTTAGAATAAACTTCTATAAATGTTGATGCCGTTTTGAGATGCTTAATTTCACTAAAATGGCCTTGATCTGCAATTCGCTAAAAATAAATTAATTCAGGTGAATATTTTTTGTCAAGTAATAATATACAAATATATGATATCTATATTAAACGTATATAATATTTATATTAAACGTATATGATATTTATATTAAGCGTATATGATATTTATATATTATATGTATATAATATTTATGTTGTAATATGTGAAGAAGAAAAAATCACCTGAATTAATATATTTAAAAAAGAACTATCTGGATATTTCTCTGATAACGCATAAATTGTATTTCGCCAATATTGTTGTTGAATTAAGGGCAATACTGGATTGAATACCTAAATTTATATAATTATTGTTTCATTATGATTATTTGTTATATAATTGCTTGTTGTCATTCTCATATTATAATTATATCTATTATAATTATATATATTATAATTATATATATATAATTATTATATATATTATAACTATATTTATTATAATTATATCTATTATAATTATTTCTGTTATAATTATTGTAATCATGAACTTTTTTTCACCTCTTCCATAGATTTCTCTACTTCATCAATTTTAGTTGAATCATATTTTTCTTTAACCATTTTTTTCAATGCTTCTCGACAAACAATTTCAGCTCTAGGTTGAACATTTTCACTCACGAATTCATCGTAGAGATCACTGACAAGTTGAATTTTTGAAGGTTCTCCTGTATAACTGTGACAAAGAGATTTGTAAATTTCTGGAATATATTCTAATGAGTTGTCTACTAATCTTTTAACCAAGTCAATAACATTTGGTTCGAAAATCGCGTCTATAAATTTATAAATTATTATAAATTATTATAAAATTTATTATAAATAATAAGTCATTATTTATATACAATTTACTCCATTCTATTATAATAAATAAATATTGAAAATATTGCTTTCTCATGAGCATAAAACGCACTAATATGCACTAATACTCAATAATACTTAGAATTTGAATATTACTGACCTTTTTTTTGTAAAGATTTTAATAATTCTATTGTATCGGTAGGATTGGCATGAGAAAAACTAAAATTAATAGGTGCGATAGGTGTAGTTGGAGTGAATGCACCATAATTTCGCGAATCTATTGAGGTTCCGATCGGGGTATATGGACGATACATAGCTGCTTCCACTGGTGTGGTTGGAGTTGAAGTATAAGAGTTCTATTTTTAAAATATTGATATTTGTTTTTGTTATATTACTGAAAAATACTTCAAATTAACTAAATCAAGAACCAATATAGATGAACTAACCGATGAATAAGAAGGTTGAAGTGAAAAATAATCTTGGGCCACATCAGAATCTATCGAGGTAATGTTTTGCATCTTTTGAATGTTTTGAAAAATAAATTTGAAAAAGTCAAGTGCTTTTATTAAATACTATTTTAAAATTCATGTGATTTTAATCCAATCATGATCAAAAAATTTGAAATTTCGAGATTCATATAAAAAGTGATATTGAAAAAAAAGAAGTTTCCTCCTTTTTCATCTCATCCCATCTATTAAAACAATGGGTAAGTAAGTACTTTTTATTTTCTGTATTCGGATTAAAAATTTTTTTTTTTTTTATTATTAAAATAAGCTTCGTATCTTTTTATGATTTGTATTTGATTTTTTTTTGAATTGGCGAAATTTTCTGTATCGAAAAAAATTTTTATTTCTCGATACTTTCAATTCTCATTTTCTCGAATGAATTCTAATTTATACAAAGATACACATATATGATTTATAAGATTTATATATACACATGTATTTACTCACATATACACACATATATAACATAATATAAAATAGGTAAAGGAAAACCAAGAGGTTTGCAAGCTGCACGTAAATTGCGCACACATCGCCGCGATGAACGGTGGGCTGACAAATCTTATAAGAAAAGGGCATTGGGTACAGCTTATAAATCATCACCCTTTGCCGGGGCTTCACACGCTAAAGGCATAGTTCTCGAAAAAATGTATTAATTTTATTATTCATTCATTATTTATGATTTTTAATTTAATTAAATTAATTATTTAATTTACTAATTTGTTTTTATTTATTTAATTTTTATTTATTTATTTATTTATTTATTTATTTATTTTTATTTATCTATTTATTTATTTTTTATTTATTTATTTATTTTTAGTGGTGTAGAAGCTAAACAACCAAATTCTGCTATTCGTAAATGTGTTCGTGTGCAATTAATTAAAAATGGTAAAAAAGTAACCGCATTCGTTCCCAATGACGGTTGCTTAAATTATGTAGAAGAAAATGATGAAGTGTTAATTGCTGGTTTCGGTCGTAAAGGGCGAGCTGTGAGTAACAAAAATAATTATTTTCTTTTAATTTATTTCACTTGTGTATAAAATTGTTGCGATTTTAAATTTAAATATTTAATTCTTTTTTTTATTCTTTATTATTTTTATTATTTTCCAGATTGGTGATATTCCTGGTGTTCGTTTTAAAGTTGTCAAGGTCTCTGGAGTATCTCTTCTCGCTCTGTAAGTGATATATTTTTCTCTAACAAATTAATTTAAAATTTATTCCCTTTATATCAATTTATTTTTTCTAATCGCATGATTCTTTGAATAATTCTTTTTTTAGATATAAAGAGAAAAAGGAAAAGCCACGATCATAATTTTTTATTATTATTATTTTTATTATTAAAAAAAAAAATTGAACAAATGTTTTTTAATTATCCTCTCCTTGGATAACTGAATATAACTGAATGTTCTACTGATATAACTGAACATATAATTTAATACGGGGGGTGGCGAAAAAGAATATAATATCTTATTTTAAATAAAGAATTTTATTGTCGTCCCTCGTTCGGAATTGATATTCGTTTTTTTTAAAAAAAAAATATCCACGTGATATAGCGCGTGACATTGAAAATTGTTTTATAAACATCTTCGATCCATAATTTGCCCGAGATGCTACTCTACTATTTACAATACGGTAGTAATGCATTCCTCCACTATTGTAGTTATTCCACGTTTTATAAGTAAATTTACAGGTTCTAATAAATTATTTCGAGTTACGAACGGGCCCAACATAAATTTTAATAGAGCAACCAGACCTAAAAAATGTTTTTTATCAAATACTTCAACTTCAAATAATGCTCAACAAATTAATCCCCTTGCGCTACCACCACCATCATCACCACCAGCTTCTACTACACCTTTACCTCCACAACAACCTATGCAACAAAAGTTACCTACACGTCATTACTTTAATACATATAAGGTAGTTAAAGATTTAGAAGGATATGGTTTTTCTAGAGGACAAGCGGAAGCAATAATGAGAGTACTGGAAGCTTTATTAAATAATAGGTAAAGATTAACAAATTATTAAATTAATTAAATTATTATTATTTTTATTTTTTTATTTCTCTTAAAATATATGTGATGTATGAGTTTTTAACTAAGTTTTGAGTTTATTATATTTATATTATAGTTCAAGGATACGATCATTTATGCTATCAAAAGCAGACTTAGAAAATGTACAACAATTTTTTTCTTTAACAAATTTTTATTTTATTATTATTATTATAATCAGAAGAATATATTTTATTATATTTATTATATTTATGAGAACCATCGAAACATTATTTGTTATTCTTACTATTCATTCCTCCTCCTATTATTATTATAATATTATACAAATTCTTTAAAATGATAAAAATCAAAAACAAAAAAAAAAAAAAGGAAACATATTTATATAAAGCAGCACTTGAGGATTTCCGAACCGAAATTCAAATTAATCGTAAAAAGAATTTATCAGACATTAGTTCAGAAACGGCAGAGATTCAGCGAGAAGTTTCTGCATTAAAACAAAAATTCCAAGAAAATATTGCGACAATGAATAATGGTATACAATTAGATATTAATAATCGTAAAGCGGAAGTAAGGGAAGAACAAAAAAAAATGGAATTAAATATACAAGAGTTGAATAATAAATTTACAATTGCAAGTGGAGATATTCGAACAGAAATTGAAGCAATGAAATGGGAAACGACAAGGATGGCTTTGAGTATGTTTTTTTTAAATTTTTTTTTTTTTTTTTTTTTTTTTTTTAATTTTCATACATTTTCCATTAAAATTTCTTATATTTCTTATATTTCTTATGTACTTTAGTGGGTATATTTGGATCAGCAGTTTTTATTTTATTTGTGATGTTCCTTATGACTAATAAAAAAAGCAAGGGAAAAAATGGCACAAAAACTCCAGGAATTTCGGAAATTTCGGAAATTTCAACAATTTCCACTTAATAATACTGGGATGTTTTTATTTTATCATCGTGCACAAATTTGTCACATGTAACTACTGCAGATCTCGATTTCACTTTTTACTAAGCAATTGTCAGAATCTTCATTATCACTATGAGTTGAATAGAGGCTTGTCATCTTCAAAATTAAATAAATAAATTTGGAAAGAAGCTACTGGAGTCAAACTTTATTGACATTCACGTGCCTAATACAGGTTTATTGAAATTATCAAATAAAACCCCTCTTCGATCTATATAATCATCTTTTTATTTTTTATTTTTATTTAATGGTATTTTTTATAAAATTTAATGAATTATAAAACTGTAAGATGCATCTTTTAGTTATATATTATTTGCTACTTTTAGATGAGCAACATTGTCAATATTATTTTCTAAAATTCAGCTTTTATATTAAGTAGATCCATCAATTCAGATAAATGATGTTGAAAATTTTCGCACTATGTACTAAATATACTAATTGTACCAAGAATAGTTAGTACATCTGTACTTCGCATAGAGGTGCACTAGTACGATTTGTACTAAGTACACTAGAACATAGTACAAATTTAGTACTTGTACTAAAATTTCGTTAGTACAGTGTACGATCACAACTTGCCCATTATTAATATCTGTAAAATTATTTTTTTTCGTTACAAATTAGATGTAAAGGCCGACCAAAATAACGAATAGATAGAAGTATGGGGCAGAGACTAAGATGGAGGAATAAAGCATATTATCTATTCCAACCGGTCAACGGAGTATTCAGATCGATATGTTTGTATAGATGCTATAGAATGCGGGTATTATAAATAATGAGCATCAGTCTAGAATAAATATAAATTGTGAGCGTTTACAAACCTCCACTTTGCGGGATTTTGTAATTTCATTTTGTAACACCAAAATGTCTTGTTTAAGTTTTTGTATATTCGGATCCATCTTGGAAATGGAGTCAGAGCTGGAGACATATTTCTTCGAATTAACATAAATAGAATTATGAGTAAAAAATATATTATATTTTCCTGGGCAGCTATATAAATCATCTCCATTGTCAAGATATACTGTATACTGTAATTCGAGAATTGTGAGTATGATAATGAAATTTTCCAACAAAAAATAAACTAACTATATAATAATACAAGAACGCCAATTATGTTTTTCCCTATTTCAGCAAGAATACAGTATAAAAAATATCATTTGTCTCCTAATTCCGTGTTCCTATTCTAGCAATCATACATTAGCGGTTCAGACGAAGAATTTAACAATAAGTTTGGCCATTTCTAACCCGACAATGTTGGCAATTGGACCAATTGGACTTAGTAAAACTGTGCCACATTTTGAATTGGACATATAGATTTTATGTGTCCAATTGTCCAATTGTCCAATTCAAGCAATTGGAATGATAAAATTGCCAACACTGTTCACAAGTGTAATGGTTACAGCGGAGAAATGACAAAAAGGCTTAACAATATTGCCAAAAGATGTCCACATAATTATTGGAATGGTTGTATAAACACGAACTTTATTATTCCTACTCTTTCCATATTAATCCCTAATATAATAAGTTTAGCTATATAATAAATGGTATTCAACAATATAACAAAGTACTTTATGTAGTCTTCGTTCTTGAAAAACAATGCATATAGTAAAACGATGAGACTGGTTATAAGTGTGTATAAGACTACACCCATTAGTTCGGTCCCGATTTCCTACAAGTCCTTCTAAAAACCTAATTTTTTCAACACGAGAGGTACAATGCTTATATATTCCTTTCTCCTCCTGTTTAGAGTCTCGTGAGTTCTTTTTAGATGCAAAGGTAAACTGTTATCATTACCTAAAATAAACAGTATTGTTCATTACTAAACATGAATAAAATGGAAACTATTTTACATATACAATAATCTTACCCGCATTAGTATTATCATTGTTCCTGTTGTTGCTCATATTAAAGTATCTAAGAAAAGATTTAGGAAAAAGTAGTATAATTTATATAATAAAATCTTTCGTCATTCATCACATAAATCAAATCCCAATCATGTGAATTGCGGGCAAATTTGCCCGCATTTATTAGTAACTTGTGACGTCACTACTGTTTAAGGGATAAAATATTATTTACAATAACACTATTTAACAATTAACACTATAATAGCAACTTGCCTTTTTTTACTTAAAATGTGCTTTTTTGAATTAGCTATTATTCAATTTAAGTGAAAAAGTGGATATAGAAGGCAATCGTGATTTCACAGATTTGAAAGTGTTTTATATTTTTTTTATATATCAACCTTGCTGTGTTGTGCTGTGCTGTGCTCTTGACCTTGATCCACTAATTCACTCGGAGGGGAATTATATTTATAAAAAAAAAAGATCATTTGTCTAATAGGAGCACGTTATTAACTGAGACTCACCTCCAAAGGAGTTCAATAAACTAGTAACTAAAAGTAAGGAAAATATGTATAGCTAAAACTAAACACTATACTAAATATGCTATTACTAGATGGGTTATACTATAAAGGAAGTATGAATATGAAATTTTTTTAATTACGGATTTACTCAAAAGAGGCTAAAGGGATGAGATTTTTATAAAAGGGTTGTGTCACTAAGATGATATTTCACTAAGACAAGTCACAAAGACAAAACTATACTATAAAAGTCACAAAGACAAAAACTATAACAAATACTAGTCACAAAGGCAAGAGTAATTCACTAAGAATTATAACAAAGTTTCACACAGAAACTATACAGTATGTAAATTCACTAAGAATTTAATGATGTCACTAAGACTAAGGAATAATTCACATAGAATTATTGTAAAATACAAAGAAGTTTATTAATTACAAGTTTTTAACTGAGAAAAACTTTTCAAGAACTAAGGACTGAGAAAAAAGGAATTCAGTCTTTTATATACATATTTGAAGTTATCCCTTAAACCATACATTTTAGTGAGCAAATTTGCCCACTTAAATAATTTTGAAAAATTACCCTTTGCAAAAATTTTTTATAAATGGGATAATTTAAATTGACTAGGGTAATTGCCAAAAGTATTGATCATATGGAAACTCCACAGCCACATCGTGACTTAAAAAAAGTGTACAAATTTGAGTCATGTGAAATTTGATATGTTTCGGATATAAAGCATCCCAAACGACCAATCTTATAAAAATTCTTGGCAATTTAGTTCTGTATACTTCATATCATAACAAACAAAAATTACTATGTAATATGGGTACTTATTCATAATAAAATTTTGAATTATTATGACAGTTAAATTAGCTAAATTTGTATTTTTATTTAAAGATTAATTTAGGATGTTTTCAATTAGTTTTATCAATAAACTGATAAATGAATAAATAAATTTTTTTTAAAAAATTCTAAAAACTATCTATTTATAAATATACAATTAAAAATTTTTTTTTTCTGTTTGTTTTCTCACGAAATTTTAGATTATTTATTGATTATTAAAAAAATTCATAAAAATATATATACAATTTTTAATTCAAAAAAAAAGAGTCTATCATTAAATCCTTTCTTATTTTAAAGTATGAAAACCAATAAAACAATTCCGATTATTATTACAACATAGAGATATATTGCACACTACACATCAAAGCTGACTTTGATATAGCATTTTACAATCCATATCCAATTTTTTTTTTGTTTGCCAACCAAATGCACCATTGGTATGCTTCTCACTTTTCTCTCCATTCCACGAAATGATTTCCAGATACCAATCGTCAATTTGAAAGCTCAAAATTTTTTGTTACTCTCAGTTGTTTTGTTTCTTTTTTTATGTCTTTTGTTTTTTTTTTGAGTCAACTCTCAATTGAACTTCTACAGTATTGTTCACAAGATCTACATGATCCCAAACAAGTTCACAGCAAAATTCTTTTTGCTCTTGTGTTGATCCTAACGTTCAGATGATACGATAGGTATTAATTATTGCAGTATCTAATAACCAGAAAAAAAAAGGCATCCAATTCCATTGCACCATTTGTTGCGTATTATAATACAATTGTAATTGGTCTGCAACATCTATGCCATTTATATTGTAGTCGTAATCATCAATTATCTTGGGAATTTTTAATTTTTTTTAGATTCAGAGCCAAAAACCATACATACCTAAATAATAAAGAATTAAATAAAAAATATTAATTAAAAAAAAATATTAAATAAAAAAATAATAATTAAATAAAAAAAAATAAAATTCAAACCTTCGTAGCATTGGTACTTGTTTCTCTTGATCACTATCTTTCACGTTTTATCTCCCATTTCTTACCAACAAGACCATGGATTATTGATAATATTGTTACCAACCCATTATCTTGTCAAAAAACTGAAAAAAAATTATATAATTTAAAAAGAGTTTACAAAGTTGTAAGTGGATAATACTTTAATTATTTTATTAGTTTATATAATTTTTAGGTATTTTCAAATATTTTTAAGTACTAACTATTATTTTTTATAATGATTTTTGTAGTGTTTTGGATGGTGCAATACTGTCCTATAGATCTAGGCAAAAAAAAAGTAATTGTATAGTTTAAAAGGGTTTACAGAATCATAATTGAATAATACTTCATTTATTTATTAGTTTATATGACTTTCAGATATTTTTAATAGGTTTTATTGTGTCAAGAGAGTTATAATTATAAATTGGCTGTTTTTAAATAATAAATTAGTTATTTTATTAGTGATCAATTTTTATTTTTATCAAATATATCTAAAGATTATTACTATTTAAAATGAAATGATGTTATTAATCTTATTTTGAAAAACAATTAAAAATTTCAATAAAATAAAGATAATTTATTATAAGTAATAATTTAGATTGCATCAAATTTTAAATATCTCATAAAAAAAAATATTGCATATTTTTGACTAAAATCTTATAAATCTTTTATGACATTATTATAATATTTCGAAGTCCTGAAATTATTTAATAATTTCAGTAACTATAATTAATTACGGCAGCCAAAAATAATCTCAGCAGCTGAAAATGTTTTCGACATTTTCGGAAAATGGTATGCCGTAATTTTTTCTACAAGTATATTCCTTACAATGGGGCACATGACGACGGTGCCGCATTTCTGTCGTCACAACACATACCTGAGTGGAAATAATCTAGACTAAGTGAAAATAACTTCCTGCTATTAGTTTCTATTCTCTGGTTTTCTTTGAAGGTAGAACAAGTTAACAGTATCTCAAGAAAAACAAAAATCATGATTCATTTACAAAGTCTAGTAATAATATTGTTGGATTATACTGTTTAATTATCACTGATCCTATAGTGATATTTAAAAATAGTTTCTGGAATATTTTATGTTACATAAAATACTTAATTAGTGATTACAAGTGATATGATTATATGCAACTGTACTCTGTATCACATTTGATAGGTTATTTTTTTTAGTAAACCTGTCACCAGTTATAAGTTACTAGAGAAAATAAATAATTAAGAGAATTTTCTATAATATTTTCAAGGTTAAAATTCATTAAATTTAACTTTTATATTATTTTTCTATATTATTTATAATATTTAATATATGTGATATGGGATAACTCTGTAATTGTTAACCAAACATAAAAATAAAGCTTAAAAATAATAATCAATGTTTTGTTTACTTTTTGGCGGGACAAAGTTTAAAGCGGGTTGTAAATCAATGACACGTTTTGAACAGTATCTACTATCATTTTTTTTAATAACCAAATTAATGAATAGAAAAAACCAATAATAAAACGAATTAACGAATTATAGAAACCAATACATGGTTTAATGAATAGACAAATAAAGCAATAGTTAATCCTTTATCAAGAATTAGAGTATAAACTGGGAACGGGGAAGGGGGGACGATGAAAAGAAGGTTTTATATTAGAAGTGGAGAGAATGGAGAATGGAGAATACTTTATATTATTAAAATATTTTATGATCAGGAATGGAGATATTCTAATTTTCTAATTGTCTAATTGCCGAATTGTTTAATTATTATTAAATGAATATTTAAATGGAAATATCGGTGAGTAAAGTGTATTTATTTATTTGGAAATTGTTTAACTATAATATAAATAATGGTTAGATTGATCAATGAATGCGATTACAGGGTGTAATTGTGATAATAAGCAATTTTTGTTTTTTTTATGTGATAATTGATAATTTACTATTTTTATATTTATTTATTTTTAGTGCTGCGACGCCACAATTACAGAATTAATACAAATTCATACAAATCATAGAAATCATACAAACTATTGACAATTATAATATTCGAGAATTCGAAAGATACAGCATTTAATATAATAATATTTAATTATAATATTTTAATATAATAATATATTATATTATATATTAATTAAACGAAATAAGAGATTAATTAATTGATTATATCATTTTCACATTTTTTTTCACTTAATCATTCTATTAATCTTACTCTCAAACAAACATATGTATGCGTCAATGTAATTCTTGTTATCCATATCCATAATTAACCACGTGCAGGCCAAGAGAATTTTCCAAAATTATCAAGAACATTATTAACATTATCAAGAACATTATTGTGAACATTATCAAGAACATTATTGTGAACATTATCAAGAACATTATTGTGAACATTATCAAGAATATTATTGTTTAACATTAGTGAAAATACTAGTGAAAACACTAGTGAAAACACTAGAATTTAGATAATTTAAATATTTCATGAACAATGTCAAAAATTTATCTTGATTATTTTTTAAATAATTAGTAGTAAAATGATTATTTTAATTTTAGTTTCTCTCTATTTTTAACATTTACATCTTTTTATAACCAACTATTATATTTATCATAATAACCATTATATATAATAATAATATCCATTATAATAACTCATGTATCGAAATTTCTTTTTTGGGAATTATAAAAAAGTGACAATTGATGATATTGTGATTATACATATGATCGTAGTTTCTAATAATTACACAACTTTCAAATAACAATGAAATGAAACTTTATCAATATAACGAAATTTCATCATATACATTATAAATTTTTTGTCATATGAAAACTCAGGAAAATTATGAATGATTAAAATAATTGGAAATAATTGGAAATAATTGGAAATAATTGAAAATAATGGAAAGTTCTTATTTTTATTAATTTTTGTTGTTTATCCGATCATCATTAACACAAAATACAGACAGAACTTACTTGGTGTGACCTTATCAGAACAATAGCAAAAAATCAACAGTAAAAAAAAATGATATCATGTTACTATCTATTCTAAATTTTTTATATATATTGGCGTACCTTTTTTGCACTATAAATGACTGAATCATATGTTAATTAATTATTTTAATTGTTCTATTTAATTATTAATTATTATATATAAATGATATAAATGACATATTAATGATATATAAATAAAATATATATATATGAATACACATCGAAGAATGTATTATAAATATAATAAGTTTATCTCCACCTTAATTTTCTCAACTCAGTTAAATTTTCTAGTTTTGTAATTAAAATTTATTCTATCCATTTCCGCTTTTGATAAATAATTTTTTTAAAAAACTTATAAAAATGTCATCGTCATCTTCTCTTTCAACCACTCTTCAAAATTCAAATTCTGAACTTGTCTTGAAAAATATTTTCTTTCATATCTCCGATTTCTGTATATTCTTCATCTCTGTAATTTGTTTACTTTTATTTCATCTCAACATTATTAGTTGTTTTCTTGTAAATTTTACAAAATCTTTAATCATGTTTACCACTGAAAGAAGTCGTGATTTTGGTAAATGGTGTGTAACATTGGGTCAAGGAATCTTGGCTTTGGCTTTAATGGATATTAGTGAAAAATCTTTACTTTCTACTTCTTTTCCAAAATATATTACTCCAACTTCACAAATTTCTCCAAAATTTATAATACAAAAACCTTTACCATCATCTTCATTATCATCATTAAAACGATCGAAATCACAATCACAACAAAAACAATTACTAAAACAAACGAAAGAACTTTCTCCTTTATCAATGATTGGTGAAATTACGTTAAAACAAAATAATGGATCAAATTATATTTCAAATAATAATAATAATAATCATCATCAAAAACAACAACATCGTCCTTCAATTTCATCTTCTCTTAATCCAAATCGAACTGAAGATTGGAAAAAAATCGTTTGTCCAAGTAAAAGATATTCAACTCCCATCGCATCATCAATACCATCATATCTTATTAAATCAAAACGTAATATGTCAGTAAAATTAATAATTTCCACTGCAGCAAATCGTATTATGATTCATCAAAAATCTCGTACAGCAGCCATATCACAATTAAGCCATAGCATTTATGGTGATGACAATAATAATAATAATAATAATAATAAAGACTCAAATAATATTTCTTTAATCGTCGATGAACCTACCTTAATTAAGAAATTAAATTTCCTCGATGACGATGAATATGAAACGTATGTATTTTTTACTTTAATTATTTTTACTTTACTCATTTTCCTTGGTACGTAAAATTCCATATATTTACTAATTAATATATATAATTCTTTTTTTTTTTTTAAAAAAAATAGTATTGTCAAAGATAAAAATTTGAAACTTGTTGAAGATCGACCAACGATTTATCAACAACGTCGTCGTCTTCATAAAAAACAATCACCTTCAATGACTTTACAAGTAGCAAGAAGATGTTTGAAAATCATGTTGAAAATTAAAAACCATAGAAACACCATATAAAAAAGAAATAGACATTTTATTATTTCTGATTTATTGTAACAAAGAACATTTGATTTTTCTTTTTGTAATTTACATTTTTTTTTTTTATTTTTCATTGTAATTTTTTTTTCATTCGCATTTTTCATTTTTTTTTTTCAAAATATTCTTTTCACACTTTTTTATGCATTGTAAATAACTTCACAGCAATCTTTTCCTTTTTCTCTTTTCATTTTTTTGATTTTTAGAATTATCTTCATTCAATCTACTTCTCGCAGGTTTTAACAGTCTGTAACAGTATTAGTAAACATCTTAATTATTTAAAAATAAAATCAGAAAAAAAAATCAAATTTTAATTTTCACAAAAAAAAAAAAATATTATATACAGGTTTTTGTTTCAATATAACTAAAGATCAGGAAAATCTATTTTACATACATCATTCTCTGGCATTTTTCTATTATTTACATAAATATGCAGATTAAAAGATTAAAATGTACTGATAAAAAATGTATTACTAATTATCACTAAGAATCTACCTGCAAACAAATTGTATTTTAGAACAAAAACTTATCAATATATACGATATGTATGTATATAAAGTATAAATATTAAAAAATATTAAAAATATCAAAGAATAAAAAAGTAGAGTGAAAGCTGCTGTTGTAGGTGAATATCATATGAAAAAGGTCAAACGTACGCTGAATTACATTTCTTACAGTGTTCTATTATTTTTTTGATGACAGAACACAGAAATCTATCAACCATTATCATTATGATTATGTATTGACAATTGACAAAGTACATAAGTTTCTATACGCATTAAAATGTAATGTATTGACGAGAGTCAAGGTTAACAAGATGTTATCAAAATTTAATCAAGATGTAATCGCGTGAGATTATAAATATTAATTTATTTTAATTATTATATCAAAGTATGAAATCGCGTTTTTTTCTATCATACGTATGAAAAAATTAATTACAACTTTCCAAAGTTTTTAATGACAATAAAAATACGATATTTTTATAAAAATACGATATTTTTATTTTTTATTTTTATTTTTTATATATATATATTTATTTTTATTGTTGTATTGATCATAATAAAATTTTTAAAACTTTTTGACATTACTTTAACTTTATTCAATGAATTTTGTTATCCTTTTCGAAAAAGAACCAATAATGATTTATTAAGAAAAAATAAATCTTGTTATGGACTTTCTAAAAAGAGTATTTTCTCATATTTAAATTGAATTTACTCTTTTGGTTAGTGTCTTTTCATCATGCATAATGGGAACTTCATTTATGATAAAAATATGCTCAGTAAAATCTAAAAAGAAACCGCAGTAATGTAAAAAAGATTTCTTTAATAAAATTAACATTTGATGCAAGGAAAAAAATAATAAATATAAATAAATAAATATAAATAAATATAATATTGTTCTAACAGATGATTCCCAGGTGAGAATACCGTTTCTGTTTTTGATGACTGTAAAATTATCTAGCAAATTGAAATATATTATTTGATTTTTTTATTATGATGAAGAAATAAGAATAATAAGTACACATAAAATAATTTCAATAAATCTATAACTCAAATAACGGTTGATTTATTATTTACAACAAATGAGACGAAAAAAAAATCCTGTTTACGAGAAAAAAATTGAAAGAGGTGAGGTTTTTTTGAAAAAATGTAAACATTGATGCAAAATTATGTACGTGCGTGTTATGATTTGATTTTTTTAATGTTACGTAATAATAATAATAAACATAAAAGTAACTATTCACATATAATGAATTCTAGATACGAAATGCCTAAAAAAAATTTATTATTTCTCAATTCTCTCTTATTTTATCTTTTTTAATTCATTTTTTTTCATCCCTTTATTTCAGCTTCTCTTGTTTCAAAAATAAATGATACGCATAATGTTAATTATACTATACTAAAATAACTTAATTATTATATTATTGTATTGTTGATAGATAGAGAGAAAATGAAAAAAGTAAAGTTTTGTCTATCTTATTACATTTAACTATTATTGGTTATCGAATCTTATGCAAAGTTTATATATAGTTTATATATATATATATATTATATACAATATATGTAGTTTATAAAAAGTATTTATAGGTTATCAAAATCACGAGTATAATTCATATCATTCGTTAAATTCTCATAATTCTCAATTCTCAATTCTCACGCAATATCATTATTATTATTTTTTTTTCATTATTTCCAAATAGTTCTAAACACGATTCCACGTTTTTCTCTAAATTATTTAAATAGTGTATAAAAAAATTTCAATTGCTCTAATTGCTCTAATTAATTACTTGAATTAATCATTCTACTGTAATTACTTTAAATAACTGTAATACTTTAACTTCCAATTAAATAATAGTTATCAGCCAATAAAACATTCATGCACAATTGGTTCTTTTTTATTTTCATATTTGCGAATGAGTTCTATGATTTTTATAACGTTACTACTTTTTCAACTTTGTTTATTGTTGAAAAGAATTGATAAAATAAATAAATAAATAAATAAATAAATAAAGTGTAAATAAATAAATAAAAGCATAATTTTCTTTATTTGTTAAATTCTATATTTAAAATATAACAACTTTTTAATTTAAAAATTTTTTTTTGATTCGGCTGCTTGCTGTTCAATTGAAAAGAAAATGCTATTGTTCTTTTGAGACATTTAATCAATATTTAGAATATTCTTCTTGGAGACCTTTTAGATTTACCTTTTTTTTTTATTAATTACATTATTTACAATTATTTAATCGTTCGCGCGCGTCATCATAAGGTATTTTTGTTGAAGATCAGGGTATGTTCCCAGCCAGCGATTAATATATGTATATTTTAGCAATGTAATTTTGGAATAAATGATGTTTTATTGGATTATTATTGTGTAAATTGTGCACTCACGGGAATTTAAAGATTACCTCGTGAGCGAAAACTTGGTTTCTTATCAACGCAATATTTATTTATTTATTTTAATTTATAACAATATAAAAGTAGACACTTATTTAATGATTATCACTTTGCGCCATACATATATTACATATATTGGAGTATTAAAGTTTTGGAGCCAACGTATGGACTAGTACATATTTTTTCATTATTAAAGGGATAAACGAACCATCATTATCGATTCTTTATGTATAAATTAGTGATGATAAAGAAGTTGTGATGATAAAGGTGATTATAAGGGTGATAATAAAAGTGATAATAAAGAAGTGTGACTATTTAAGATATTAAATTTCCAAAAATATAATTTATTTTTAAATATTCTATTCTATAAATATCTATAGATTTCAATATGTTGTAAAGATAATGATTCATTAATATTAATAGGGATTCCACCTTTAATTTTCAATACTTTTATACCATGTTTTGGAACCTTTGCTGTAAAACTATTTTTATGATTATTAATAAATAATATAAAAAAAAAATTACTAAAAAAATACAACAATAATAGATAATAACAATTACTAATTAAATTAAATTACCTTTTGACAAAATATCCTAAATCTTTTCTTTCCCAAAGATCTCTAATAGAAATTTCATCTTCTAATTTACAATGATATTTAAAATCTAAAGTAATTTTCATAGCAATTTCAGCTCTATTGAAAAGAACTAAAAATATTATTACATAAAATTGAGTTATAATTAAATTAATTAAATGTAATTTATTCAATATAATTTAAATATAACAAAATACGAAATACATACGTGCAACGTGACCATCAGATAATTCTCCAGTCCAAATATCAAAAAATCTAGAACGTTGAGCTATATTTACAGATTTTCCAAGAGGATCTTGCTAGAAAATTATTAGTTTCATATTAATTTCTTATTAATTTATGTTATTTGTGTTGTAATTGCTTACATTAAGTGCAATAATTTCAGGATTTAAAACAACTTTTAAAGTATCATTAGGAGGATTTCTAATCTATAAAAAATAATATAATAAGTAATAATTATAATATATATAATAAATAAAAATAATAATATATAATAATATAAACGAAAAAATAATAATAAACATACATCGAATCCCAGTAAAAGAGGAGCTTTTAATGCAGCCCAAAGAGAAAAATGACTTTTCTGTTCATCTAAAGAGAATTGACCATTACCAACTTGAAGCATATCAGGATCATTCCAACCACCTGGACCAGAATATTGAGTAATATCTTGTTGCCTTCTTAATATTGAAAGAATTGAATCCCATGCTACCCTTATATCTCCTGTAGTCCTCCAACTATAAATCAAGAATTATATCAAAAATTTGCATAAATATAAGAAATATATAAAATATCAATACAAAATATAAATAACCACACACCTATTACCGACTTCAGCACCCCAAAGATGTGGTTTACTAGTTCTAAAGAAATTGATACAAAACTAATAAATTAAATAAACATAAATAAAAATGACTAAACAGAGAGATATATATATATCATGTATATGTGTATATTAGATAACTTGATTTTTACCCCCATTCACAAATACTAAAGAATATGGGCCTTCCAGAAGCTATATAAAAATAAAAATAAAAATAAAAATAATATATATATATTAATTATTATGATCAAAATAATAATAATAATATAAATAATATGGTAAAGATAAAATATTCCCTAACCAATAAGAGCATCTTTCATTTTCTATGTATATAAATTAAAATAATATTTAATAAAAATATAATAAATATAATAAATATATCTTAAACATATCTTAAGCTTACAGTATATCTTTGTTTTTCAGGAGAACCGTCATTATGACAATTATCATATTTTAAATAATCGATTCCCCAAGAAGCAAAAATTTCAGCATCTTTGTTTTCATAACCTAATAAATAATTGATAATAAATAATTGATAATAAATAATTGATAATAATAAATAAATAATTGATAATAAATAATTAAAAAATAATAAATAATTAAAATAATAAATAATTAAAAAATAATAAATAAATAATAAATAAATACCAAGACTCCCAACCCTTCCAGCACAAGTATAATATCCAGCATCACTATAAATTCCAAATAATAATCCTTTTGAATGAGCATAATCAGCAAGCTCTAAATTAAATATAATATAAATTAAATATGATATAAATCAAATAAATAAATCAAATAAAATAAATTAAATAAAATAAAATAAAATAAAATAAATTAAATTAAATTAAATATAATATAATCAAATAATACTTTTCATTCCATTAGGAAACCTGCATTTATAATAATTATATATTAACTATATATTACAGATAATTTTAATTAATTATTTTATTTATTTAACTCACGTTATCGGGTCGGAAGTTAAATATCCATTTTCATCTCTCTCACCTTCCCAGCAATCATCTATTATCAAATTATATATAGAATATAAAAATATTTAAAATATATTTAGCATGTATTTAAAATATAATTTTAACTTTACTCACCAACATTTAAATATTGATATCCCGCATCGGCAAATCCAAATTTAATCAAAGCATCAGCAGTTTCTTTGATTAAATTTTCATCAACATTACAACCAAACTTTATTTCAATTATACAAATCAATTGATTATCATTATTGTCATATATTTATAATTAATTTTTATATTTTATAATATTTTATCATAACATTTCATAATTTAATAATTAATACAATAATTAATATATTACGTGATTCCAACTATTCCAACCCATAGGAGGAGTTCTACCAAGCCCGTTTTCTAAGCCTAATACAATCCCGATAAACGAAGCCACGATAAAAATCGGATGAATCCAAGTCATACTTGTTATTCTTGATTGAGTAAATTATTTGGCTATTTATTTATTCTATATTTATATATTTATGTAATATATAAAATATGCAAGATGTAGATCATTTATTCATTAAATATATTTTTCAATAATAGTAATTTCAATAATTTATGATTTTTACAAATAAAAATTATCAGTTATATCAGTTCAGTTATATATATATATATATATATATATACACATAAATTTAATAATTGAAATTAAACACTCCACCAATGTAATTCTGTATCAGAAATCCAAATTCCTTCACACTTTTTATTTGGTATTTCTGGATAATGATGATGAATTAAATTATTAATTATATGATTTTTCTTATCATTACCATCACCCTCATTATTATCATTATTATTATTATTATTATTATTATTATTTTCACAAAATCTTATAGTTGATATATGATCTTTAAATGGTCCAATGGGTGATCGAATTAATTTACCAGAATTTATTGAATAAAAACGAATATATTTATCTGATCCAGCTATCAATTGAAATATTATTGAATTAGTAATAATGACATTAATAATAGAAATAATAAATAATATTTACCTATAGCAACTATAGATTCAAGAGAATTAACAGAAAATCCAATCCGCCGATTACTATTATTGACATGTCCAAAATATTTCACAAGTGGCTTTGTTTCTTCCACAAATTTTAATCTTTTCTTGGTTTTCTTTTCATCTTTTATATATCGAGAATCCCAGAGAGATAACTGATTATTATAATAATAATTAATGATTAAATAATTAAATAATAAATAATAATAAACAGAAATAAATAAATGAATAACAAATAAAACAGAAATAAATAAATGAATAACAAATAATAATCATATTAAATAAATAAATAATACATACAGATCCATTCATTCCATCACATAAAACATAAAACCCACCAATAGATTTTATATTACATATTGGCGATGACTGTCTAATATGTAGACAATCGCTGCCTGAACGTATATCAAATATACGTAATCGACCATCTCTAGATCCAGTATGAAATATTGATGGCTAATAATAAATAATATCAAATAATAAAATAATAAAATAATAAAAATAATATAAATAATTAAATAATAAAATAATAAAATAATAAACAATAAAATAATAATAAAATAAAATAATAATAAAATAAAATAATAATAAAATAATAAAATAATAAAATAAAATAATAAAATAATAAAATAATAAAATAATATTAATAAATAATAATCAATATAATAATATAATAATTAATAAAATAATAATAATAATAATAATAATAATAATATATAATAAAATTATTTATTATTTACCTGATAATCATCAATGTCTACTGCAAATACATCACTTCTAGTATTAAATTTTATATGTGATCCACAATTATAAATATAATCTTGCAAAACAATTGCACCTATGGAAGATCCTATTAATAATATTATCATATTTATTATTATTATCATTATTATCATTATCATCATCATCTTTATTATTAAATTAAACATACCTATGACTAATAAGGAATTTGTCTTGGAAAGAGCAAAAGTCCATAAAGTTGTATTTGAAGTAAAATTACTTACTTGAACTTATTAATTAAAGAATTAAATTAAATAATAAATTAATTATAATGAATTATAAAATTATTATAATAAAATATATAAATATTTAATTACCCACAATTAGCGATGTTATCATGTCCTCTCACTAAAAGTTGTAATTTTCCGGGTCCAAATTCACTTCCCAGAGTTGCACATCTGCATAATAAATATAATAAATTATATTAATTATATATTAAAGCACTCGATATATTATTATTTCATATGATATATTATATATTTGATTACATACATTAAAGCATCTTTATTCACTCCAATAGCTGTAATCTATAAACCATAAAAAATTTTATTAATATTAATATTATTACATTATATATTCTTGTATGTATATATGTCGTGCCTCAGATCGATTCTTGACTCAGATTAAAACTGGCCAAAGTTAGGTTAAGGTTAGAAGGATCTACGTAGACCAATTTTATAATTCTGGTAAATGGTTTACACATGAGGTGCCTCGGAGTCAAGAATGTGATCTGAGGCATAACATATATTTATACAAAAAGTTAATAAGAAATGAAATAACATAAAAACCTCTGAAGGAACTTGCATGATTGGATATTCAAATATTTTTGAACATGACCTGGAATCTGCTTGATATCTTAAAATTCTAAAATAATTTTGTTGAAAATAATTAAAAAATAATTTAATAATTGTTTAAATATTTAAAATATTTAACCAAATTTACTTACTCAAAATTCCCTCGAGAATTACTATAATATATTTCATTTCTTGATGAATTAATCTAAACAAAAATATAAATAAAAATAAATAAAAATAAATAGAAATTGTATCATCCAAAAATTATTTATATTTTATATTTACCACAAAATCTGTTATTTTTTGTGGAATTCCTCTTCTTGGTTTGAGTGATCCAACTGGTTTATATGAATTCACTATGAATTCTCCCATTTCACTAATAATAATAATAATAATAATAATAATAATAATAATAATAATATATAAATAAAAATTAATATTTGTAATTAATTAATGATTAATAAATTGAATTTATAGATAATATTAATTATTACCTTCGGTTTTTATAATGTGATTTGAATGGATTAATTTCTCGATTTAATAAAAATTTATGTTTATCAAAGATTCCTTCTTGGCTTATATAATATGATGATTTATCAATCTATATAATTATAATAATTTAAAGTTATAATAAATTTATAGAAAAAGAATAAAATTATTTTAATTATTTACCTCATTAGCTTTTTTTTTCTCGTTCACTTTAGAAACACTGTGTGGATGATCACTTCCAAATATTTGATTTGGAAGTATTTTAAAGTATCTGTTCTTTTCTCTATCATAATAATATCCTGGTATTTCCATTATTTCCATTGATGATGATGTTGATGAATTATTTGATGAATTATTATTATTATTATTGTAATTAACGTTTCTATTACTATTATTATTACTAATACTATTATTATTGTTGTTATAATGGTTATTGTTTTTATTTCTATTCTTTCTCCTTTCGTATCTTTTCATGTTGATAAATGTGAATTATTTATTTTTCCAATCTAGTACTGCTGATCAGATTTATAGCAATTTATGCACGTGATTTATTACAAATCCATATTTATATTAGTTGAGTTTATCATTTGCTTGCTGATTCTAATTTGCTTTCTTGTTTAACTGGAGTTCTTGTGACTAGGTGATGCTTATTTTCTGAAAGATCTATATTATATTAACAAAAATTTAAAAAAGATTAAATCGATTCACCTGATTACAATAAATAATTTATTTACCTCTTATAAATTTTTCATTTTTCATTTTACATTTATCATAATAACTAAAGAATTTGATATAATATTTGTCAGTGGTATGATTGATAATTTCAAATATTCAAATATTTACAATTTTTCAATGAGTAACTGAAAGAATAAACTCATAAAATTTTAGATCTTTGGACACTGCTTTCTTACATTCAATAGTGATTCTACTAAAAGTAGTATTAATATTTATGTTAAATTTTTTGTAAACATAAAATACGCGATAGTTTAAAATATTGGTTTCTTGTCGAGATCGACTCCTTATAAATAATTTTTTATAGTATTCACATAATGTTCTTTCATTATTTTTTTAAAAAAGGGAAATGATAAATTTACCCTAATATAAAACACATCGAATACGATTCAATGTTTAAAATTCAATGTGTAAAAACTTTGCACATAAAAAACATCTGCAGGAATTTTGCACATAAAATTCTAATTATGATTTAAAATTACATTTGCACGCAATGTTGTCAAGGGACACAATGCTTGGACAAAAATTATTTTTTTAAAATGTGAATAACGCAAAGTTTTATTATAGAAACTTAATTGTGTGATTTAAAAATTTGATTTTTAAACACTTGCACGCAGCGTTGTCAGGGACAGTGCTTTGACAAACATTATTTTTTTAAAAATGTGAATAACGCAAAGTTTTATTAGAAAAACCTACTTTGGGTCATTAATTAAAGTTGTTCAGAATCATATAATTGTAAAATATTTTCATAAGCTGGTTAAGAGTAGGGACAGTAAAAAAAGAACTCAAAATGTACGTTTACCACTGCTGACAAATAATATTAATATTAACCTTCGCGTGGAAAATAAAAATTTAAAATGTAGAGAGAAAGTTTATTTAATCAAAAATACATTGAACATTTGGTTGTCTATTTATAAAATTTAAATTATTGAATTTTTGAACCGAGAACATTTATTTAATTTACTAAACTTTCATAGATGACAAGTAATATATTAACAAATCATAAATTAAATCAGAGATAATAAAATTTTATAAACAATAAAATACATAAAAAAATTTTTAAAAAAATTATTATTTAAATTACTTAAATAAGAGTTTGTAGGCACTATTGAGTGAGAATTTTAGGATTAAATGTATACAAATTATTGAACATTATCGAATCGACATTCAACAAATTATAATCGTTTGGATTTTCTATACAACAACACAACACAACAAACTATTACGAATACCACTAATTAAATCATCCTTCTTTGCAAAAATCCAAGGTTTGGCATTTGTTATTCGTTCAGTACGTAAACGATGGGAACCATCGATACATATGAAAATGCAAACCTGGAATTAGAATATTTTAATTTAATATAAGAATGAAATATAATAAAATATAATGAAATATATAATAAATTATAAATTATAATAAAATATAATAAATTAAAATAAGACTTACACAAATCGTTGTTAAAACACTCAATGCAGATGAAGCAGAAATCATAAACATAATAATCTGTTGATATTTAACCGCATCCATTATAGGTGCACCGCCAATTATTTGTCCGGTCATCATTCCTGAAAAAAAAATACATTGTTACTTTTTATAATTCACGGAATTATTGAAATTATTATCATTGTTATTATTGTTATGATTATTATTTTATTATTATTATTATTATTATTATTATTATTATTTTCATTATTATCATTACATTATTATCATTATTATTATTATTATTACCTGGAATAGATATTAATCCAATTATGCTATATTAATAGAAAAAAATAATTTTAAATTTATTTTATTAAAGAATAAAATCAAATATATATTTTTTAAACAATTAATAATTAATGTAAAATATAAAACCTCACCTCATTGCATTAATGGTTGGCAACATAGCCAATCTAATTGCCTCTACTGCGACTGGACGACCAGCTTCCCATCTAGAAGCTCCAAATGCTAAATACATTTCTATATTTTCTCTTTGCTCACTGAAAATGAATAATAAATATTAATATTACAATTATTATTATTATTATTATTATTATTATTATTATTATTATTATTATTATTATTATTTAATTTAATTATAAAAAAATTGAACCTGAATTGTCCTAATGCATAAGAATTACCAACAGCTACGGCAGACATGCAATTTCCAAGTAACATTCCCATGGTTGGAATAAATACTCTAATATTTAAGATCATTTTATTAGAATATTTTATTATAATGTTTATTAGATTAGAGAAGTAAAACTATTTTATCTTACTGTGGTTCCCAAAAAGGGACTTGAGATAATGCAAAACGTGATCCTTTAATACAATATTTGATATAAATAATTTAAATAATTAGATTAATGTTAATGATTTAATATTAATATATAAGATGTTCACTTTACCAATAATGCCAATAATAAGAGTGCTTAAAGATAATGATACAAGAACTGAAAAAAACTACAAATAAATAAATTGAATTAATTGTGTTGTTGAATAAAAAAAAAAAATCTAACATTCTAAATATTCTCATTATACTAACCATTCCCGAGTGTCTTCTTCTACTCTTATTAAATGAAACTTCATTTGCAGCCAAAAATATAAGCACAACTAATTATAATAATAATATTAGATAACAAGGTTAAAAGAAAATTCTTTAATAATATTGATTGATGTATACTTACATATCATTATCATAACTATGAGAGGGTGTCTTGCTTTAAAAACATCTTCAAGAATTAATCCCTAAATAAAAAAATAAAGTTCATATAAAATCGGCGACAAATTAAAATTCAAAAATCGATATTTAATAATAACTAACCATGATGGTTAACTGTACAAGACAACGAATTGAACTTATAAATAATGATTTTTCTAAACGTAAATCAAGCCAAAATGAAATAATTCCTAAAACATTTATAAATATTTTAGAATGAATGTTAATATCAAAAGAAGTAAAAGAAGTTGAGAATTTTTTTGTGATGTGATTCAAAGGAAGGAAGAGGGAGAGATTGTTAATCACCATTTATTAAAATGAATGAAGAGGCAACACCCACGTTCGACCAATGAAGAGGGACATTTTCAGGTTTATCTGAAATTTCCACATTTTCTATATTTTTTATAGTAAGTAAAGACGAAATCGACATGAAATTAATGAAATTCATTTTTTTGAAAAAGTAATTCCATAAAAAATTGAGGTGCATATATATATATAAATAAATATAGAGTAGGCACGCATATAACTGCATAAATGTAACGCATTCCTGATATATTTGTCAACTTACTCTTATTAGGAAACGATTTATAACAGATAATCTAATCATAAGATGAATTAGATAAACTAGCTAATTTGAGTTTTCATATTTGAAATATAAATAAAAATTTAAAGAATTACAATTACAACCATTCAATAGAAGAAAGATTTTATTAATAATATAATATATCCATTATATAATGAAATGAAATCAAACAATCACTAAAATGAAATAAATAAAATATATATAATATATATAAAATATGTAATAGATCAAATATCATATCATGTGTCCCAGCTTGGTTTCTTTGGACTTGAAATTTCACCAGCTGGAAAATTAAATAATTTAAATAATTTATTATTTAAGTTTAATTTATTATAAATTTATTAAAAATAAAATATAAATAAAAATTAATCAAATACCTGAACGTGCGAATACACTAAGAATATCTGTTAAGCTTACAACACCGATACAATGCATACGCTCATTTACAACCCAAACACGATGAGCTCTTGTAGCTATAAAGATATATATATATATATATATATAATTTTTAGGGACGTTATTAAATTTTAAATTCTTTAAAAATTTTAAAGATTTTAAAGATCTTAAATATTTATATACCTGTTAATTTAGCAATTGTATATCCTAATGTTGATGATGGGCGAACATCAAATACAGGATATCTATCCTACAAAATATTAAATATATATAAATTAATATATATTAATATTAATATACACACATTTTAATATAAATTTAATTTAAACATTAATCTAATAACAAAGAATTGAATTATTATTAAATAAAAATTACCTGTCCTTCCTCTATACCTTGTCTACTTCTCACATGGCCTATAAATTGATGACACGTTTTCCACATTAAAGAATGACTATAATTTCGTAGAACGTACTAAAATATTAACGATATTCAAAAGAGTTAAAAAAAAAAGTAGAATAACGAAATAGAAATATTGAAATATTTTATTTTATTTACTAACTTTAACATCTGTCATACTGAGGTTTCCAATTAATGTACTATCTACATCAACAACAGCAATTGAACTTAATCCATTCTTGTCTGTCATAAATAAATAAATAAATAAATAAATATAATTGACAATATGGCAACATAACGTAGATGTGAAAGTAATATAAAATCATAATAACATACTCATCATTGTCAATGCATCAAGAACAAATGATTCAGCTTGAGTAGAGATTACATGATCTTTGCCAATTTCAAAATCATGAATCTATAAATTATAAAATTAATTAAAATAGAATAATAATATAATAATAATAGTATTGTTACATTTAATATTAAGATACTTACAGTCTTGGGAAAAAGTTGTTCAATCGAAGGAAATTTGGTCACCTGATAAACGTAGCAAATACAATAAACTTATTTTAATAATAATAATGATGATGATGATGATGATGATGATGCAAAATAATATAATATAATATGTTGAAATTTTTAGAATAACAATTAATAATAATAATAATAATAATAATAATAATAATAATAATAATAATAATTAATAATACAAACAAATTTCATACATTTTCATAAAAGTATGTAACTACTCTGGATTGAGTCAATATTCCTTTCAATGCACCATCTGCATCAACAACAGCAACTATATTTTTAAATATATAAAATATTGTGAGTCAAAATGTAAATATAAACATGAAATTAAACATAAGTACAAATATAATTATAATTAATTAAAATAACCTCTACCTCTATGAATACCACTTCCAAATAATTTAACAACATGTAACAATGATGTTTCTGGAATTACACTATAAAATGGATTCTTATGGGACAAATCTATATTAATTAATTAATATAAAATAATAATAAATATTTAAATTTTATTTAAATTATTTAATATATATAATATTTTAATTCAATTAATTTAATTTTCTTTTCTTTTATATTTCTTGCCTGATGCCAATTTAACAGGAACAGGCTGACACTGCATAGCTAATTTCAACAAATCATTGAATTCTGATGTTAATTCTTCATCACTTTTCTGTTGTTGTTCTATAACGTTTTTCTTTTTAAGAACAATCAACAAATAAGACATAACATCTGACCCTAGAATGTGAAATAAATAATTTAAAATTTTTTGCAATAATAAAATAAAATATAATAATAATAATAATAATAATAATAATAATAATAACAAATTATTTATCGATTATTTACAATCAAACATCCCAATATAACTTTTAACTGTTGGATCATAAACTGGAGCTGATGATATATTATTTTTTATGAGAATCTAATAAATAAAATTATTAAAAAAATATTATTAAAAAAATATTATCAAAGATATTTTACAATTATAAATTAGATAAATTAATAAATATTAATTAAATTATATTAATTGTACATATTTCATCTACTTACATCACAAGCTTCTTCTATAGGAGTATTACCATCACTGAAAAACAAATTTGCATATTAAAAAAATGGGAATATCAAATTTAAATAAAATTAATATATTTGTTTCCATAATTTAATTCGAATAAACTTACATAACTATTACATTTTGGTCACCGACAAGATCAATTACTTTTATTAAAGTCCAATCATGTGTTTCGGTAGTTAAGCCTTCACGGTGTATATCACTTTCAGAAATAGTTGAACGACGAGAACTCGGAAGTCCAGTAATAGGATCCATAAAATGAAAATAATTAGATTGGAATTGGAGCTTATTTGTATGACATGATTGCACAATCAATAATGAAAACGGTTTTTCTAATTCTGGCAAAAATGATCGACATTTGACCTCCCATATTCCCAATAATCTCAGCTCACATGTGTCCATTAATGATCACTTCCACTCTCGATACCTACTCGTTTATTAACATATATAAGGTTTGTACAATATAAATAATTTCCTTTTATAAAAATAAATTCCTTGTTATGATTTTAGTGGTGGTGTTACTTAGAAGTTCGATCATTTTTCGTTTTATTTAGTAATAAATAAATTGAATATAGTTAATTTATTAAAATAATTAAATAAATAAATATATATATATAAGGAAATAGAGATAGAAGAGCAAATTCTTTCCTCTCAGAATTAGGTGTGTGTTAAAATAATTTTCTTTTTGTAGATAAAAAATGGTTTTTTAATAATAGGATAAGTTGATGGCATAATAACAAATTTCAATTTTATTTCTTTTCTAGTGAAAAAAAAATTTTTTTTTTTATTATGCAAGATAAATCTTCATTTTAATTGAAGAAATAATTTGTATTAATAATTGAATGATTGATTAAAATTGCATTTTTTTTTTATAAAATTCTCTTTAAATTATTAACAATAGTATTTCAATGGTGATAGCCCAAATAATATAAAATGAATTAATTTTATTTTATAAAAATTATTTCTAATAAATAAATAAAAATATTTTTAAATTTTTCTTACATATGTACACTTCCCTGCCAAAAGTATTCAACCACCTAAAAATTCATATTTTTTAAGTAAATTTTTATTTGCTAATAACTCATGATCTAATTTATTAAATTGGGTCAAAATTTTTTTTATTTA